GGGCTACATAGTGAGTTCCAGGTCAATCTCAACTGCATAGTGAGACCCTGTCTAAAAAAAAACAAAAAAACAAAACAAAAAAAAAAACAGCCTTATAGCACAAGTGGACCAAGAAAAATGGGAGACATAGAAAATTAGAAAAAGTGCTTTCTATGAAAACGATTCCCTCTAAGATGTTTACGGTACACACACTGGGCCTCCCTCAGCAGAAGCGGAGGCCAACCGTCCACTTTCCCGAAGCATCCCCCGGGTTGCTCACCCACAAATACTGACCAAAGGCTCAAGAGGAGGAAGACTGCTCCCCTCATCAAGGGCACCTCAGTCTTCCTCAAGTGGGAGCTGGACCTCTCACCAGCCGTGCTCTGTCAGTTAGAGGCAGAAGGCCCCACCCTCGCTGCTGTTCTTGTGGGATCCCACACACATCAAAGCTCTCCTAATTTAGTGGGAGGTGAAAATGCAACTGCTCTCTCCACAGAGACTTCTACAAAAGGCAGCAGTTAAGTGATACATCCTGATGTCTGCCCCTAGACCTACCTAACACCTAGTAAAGGCAGTTACCTTTCTTTCAAGCAAAGGAATGTATTTACTCAAGAGTGAGGGGGCTGGGGATTTAGCTCAGTGGCACCATGCCTGCCTGGAAAGTGCAGGTCCTGAGTTCGATCCAAGAGTGAGGTACTCTGAAGCTGAAAATGATGACCGGTCCTGTATCTAGATCCAAACTCACTGGTACTCAGAAGCTGAGATGCAGGAATACTGACAAGTCTTCAGTCTCCTCTCCCACTTGCTGATCTGCCCCGTGTTCCTGTGTCCAGTGACCCCGTGATGTGCCGTCTCAAGGGGTTCTCGGGCTCCAGACCACGTGGAGGCATTGTTCTTTCAGGGTATACTCCGGCAGAGGGGCGTTGGCAGAAATAGGCAGGCCATCAGCATGCAGAGGTAGCACAGATGATGTGATGAGCAGAGCCCATCATGTGTCCCCGAATATCTGCAGAGCCAGAGGTGACCTCAGTGGCTGTGGTTGCGGCACCTGGTGCCTGGCACCAGTGCTGGGTCGGGTTGAGTCTCACATCAAAGTTGAGCCACGTGGGCTGCAGTTGCAGGTGACCCCAGATGCTGTATGAGACCCCAAGGGTCCCTCTCGCCAGCTGTTCTGGCGACCACTTCCTGGATTCCCACCCCGGATGCTTGTATATCTTTCTTCAGCTCCTCTCTTAGTACCTTCTGTAGGCTTGCTGATCATTCATGAGGGTCATTACCTATTTAGTTCTGTCCTCTTTGAATTCACCAAGCACCTTACTGATCTGCTTTTTACTTCCCCTGGTACTGTGTGGCCTTTTATCCCCCACCCAGTGCCCTTTGGATCGGCTTTGGGTGAGTAGAAGTTTTGGAGGCATCTTGTTGACCTGTCTTATGTTTAATTTCTGTTCCAGAGATTCTTTCTGTGTGTGACCTTGGCTCGTGTCCCAGGATCCAGCTATCTCCATTTATTTGAGAGGAGAGAATGCAGCCTGCTTGGCCCGGTACCCAGTTCCTCAGGAACGGGCCACAGTATTGTTTATGACCCCAGGCGATCGGTCCTTGGCACACAGAGAAGACCAATGGGCAGCAGCAACCAAGTCGCCTAGGCTGTAGGAAAGTCGGCCACAGCAGTAGCATCAGATACACACTGGCTGCTGACAGACCCTAAGAGCCCTTCACGAACCACCCTTCACCAAAGCAAAGAGAGGAAGGGTTTTAGTGTAGAGGCATAGGCAACCCGGGTATGAGCCTCAGCTCTCTCTGCCAGGTGTAGGCAGCAGTGTGGGAGCCCCCTCTGAAGGGCTACGTGCTCCAGACCTCCCCTCCCGCCCAGAATGCAGGCCCACGACCTTCCTGGCCCAAAGTAGAGCTTCTCGGGGACTCGGAGAGCTGTGCCTGGTCCTGACCCCTCCAAGTCTGGCTCCTGCGGCCGTCTCCCCCTCTCCTCCTGGTGGTGGCGGTGTCCTCTGTCAGGTTAGTCGTTTGGCCGTCACCCGGAGGGCCCTGTGCTGAGGACCAGCATGCAGAGCCTGCTGGGAGTGGGTAGTCTGACCCCAGCAGGGGTGGGCAGTTCCTCCTCCCTGCACAGTGCAACTCGGCAGCAGAGGAGTGGCCGTGAATTCCTTTCTCAGTGCAGTGGAGGTCACCTGGTTTGGGATTTCTCTCCCCACTCCAGGCATAAACAAATGGTATGCAAATGAGCCAAGCACAGAAGGGAAGGCGTGGCGAGGTCCTAAGTCCAGGGTCCTAGTTTTTTATTCCAATTACCTCTTTTTCCTTTTGTGACTTACTTATACTCTGGTGTTATGTCTTTTTAAGAAATGATTGCTTAATCCAAGGTTATGATTTATTTACTTCTAGATTTTCTTCTAGAGTTCGCTCTCATGATTAGGGCCATTTGAGTTCATTTTTGTATGTAGTCTAACGAAAAGAGTGGGTGTCTGTGTTTGAGGATGTACTGGTGATTGAACCCCATGCTTTTCCATTGAGCAACATCCCCAGTCTTTATTTTGAGACAGGGTCTCCCCAAGTCATTTAGTTGCCCAGGCTGGGCTCACATTTGCAATCATCCTGCCTCAGCCTCCCAGAGTGCTAGAATTATGGGCATGTGCTGCCACACCTGGCTTCCCATCATTTTCTTTTATACTTTCACCTTTAATTTAAAAAAATATTTCTCTGACTATAGAATTCTAAATTTACTTAATTTTTTTTTCTTTCCATACTTCAGAGTTGTTTTGTGGTGCACGTCTATAATCCTGGCACTGAGGAGGCTGAGGCAGGATGGTCACAAGTTCGAGGCCAGCCTGGACTACATATAGGAAGACCTTGTCTCAAAACAGACAAATAGGGCTGGGGATTTAGCTCAGTGGTTCCACCACCTGCCTTGCAAGCGCAAAGTCCTGAGTTCAATCCCCAGTACCAAAAAATAATAACAATAATAATAAAATCTGGAAACCATAGAGAAACAGTTCTCAGATTTGATTGCACACAAATTAAAATTCTCTGAATATCAAAGCAAAAGGAAATCACAGACTGGAAGAAAAACAGTGTTTTTCAAAGGGTAAAGAAGTTAACATCTAGAGTGCATAAGAAGGAAGCCAGGCGTGATGTTGCACCCCTGTAACTGGGGCACCAAGGGAGCCTGAGGCAGAATGGTTACAGGGTCAAAGCCAGACTGCGCAATTTAGGAAGACCCTGTCTCAACAACAACAAATAAGAAGGGCTGGATATACTTCTCTGGTAGAACAGCCTTGGTCCTCAGCACTATAGCAAAAAAAAGGCAACCAAAAAATATTTTAGCTCTTTCGATACCGGGAATCAAACTCAGGACTTCGTACTTGCTAGGCAGGCACAGCCCCACTGAGCTAAATCCCCAGCCCTAAATCTTTTTTTTTTTTTTATAAGAAAAAGGTAAACAAAAACTAAGAACAGATAATTTATGAAGGAAAAAATATAAAAGGCCAGTAATTAAATGAGTAATAATCACCTTTAATCACAAAATAATAAGCTCTATTTCTCACTCATCAAATCGTTAGGAGTAGAAAAGGCGACTAATGTCCATCATTTTGAGCGCATGAGCCTAAGAGTCAAAAATGGTAGGTGGGGTCTCCTAGAGGGCAGATTGGTGTAGCTAATATGGTTTAAATTGTATTTCCTGCTTGGGCAGTAATTTCATTTCTAGAATTCATTTATCCTGTAGAAATGCTCATATATATGCACAGAGGTCTGTGCCTAAGCTTTGTTTGTAATTTAAAACAGAAAGGATGCCAGCTAAGCCCGGGTGGTGGCACGTCCCTGCAGTTCCAGCACTTGAGAGGCTGAGCTCAGAGGCCCCCTGAGACCAGCCCTGCCTCTAGAAGAAGGGAAGCAATCTAATCTCATGTCCGCTAACAGGAACAGAGCTGGGAGTGGTAGCACACATCCGTACGGCTGAGGCAGGAGGGTCGGGAGTTCAGTACCAGACTGGGGAGTTTAGAGAAACCCTGTGTCAAAATGAAAACAGGAGTGGTGGTATGGGTCAGTGGCACAGCACTGTTAAGTTCTGTGAATCTGAGTGTGGTAGCACACACTTGGTCTCGGTGTAGTTCACTGTGTAGCTTAGGCTGGCTTTGAACTCTCAGTGATCCTCCTGCCTCAGCCTCCTGACTGCGGGGATTATAGGCCTGTGCCACAATGCCCGGATGCACACACTTGGAATCCCAGCACCGAGGCTGAGGCAGAGGGGATCACAAATTCAAACCCAGCCTGGGCAGCTTAGTGACAAAGGGAAGCTGTGCTCACTTCGGCAGCACATATACTGAAAAGGGAAGACGTAGCTTACTACCAAGGCCTTGGGTTCCAACCCCAGCACCACAAATAAAAAAGAACCTGAAGCCTCCTGCTGGAAGACATCAGCATTCAGTAAAAGTGGGCTGTGGGCTGGGCCGTGCGTTGCTCAAGCTGTCCCTTATCTGAGGCAAGGCTGACACTCCTTCTCACATGCGTCTTGGAAAGAGGAGATGGCCCTGAGGACTCCAGTGTCTCGCTTAGGTTTCGGCGCGTGGGTCACTCTGATGCCCTCGTCACAGGAGAGCACCCCCATCCCGGGAGTTGAAGGCCACAGCGATATCACACCAGGTAACACTGTGGTCTCCAGTTCCTCAGGGCTACCTTGGCCTGTTTCGGCTTGAACTGAGATGTGCTCAGATCAGGCCCACGACACAGGACCCCACCAAGTACTGATTCTCTAAGCCTCTGCACACGTGTGCTGCCTAAGTATGTCCATGCCAGTCTCTCTGTTTATCTTCGCGGGTGGCACGGGGACCATTGATGTCTGAACTCATACCGATAAAACTCCTGTTTGTCCTCTTAGCAGACCCAAGATTTAACAGTCTTTTCTTTTCCGGAGATGTTTTTCCCACTATCGGGTCAAAGACTTATCGCGTGGTGTCTGCTTCAGGAGGGTGAATGAAGAATAATACCTTGCCTCTTCCTCTTTGCAGCCGTCCCCAACCTCTCCATACTGGAGACAGTGAGTTCCGTGAAGTTGGCAGACAGAGTCAACAGTTCCTGGCAGAAGAAAGGCTGCCCTGAAAGGCTGAAGGTTATGGTACAGATCAACACCAGTGGAGAGGAGAGTGAGTGACCAGACCTGCAGTGCAGATTTCCTTCCCGTTGGGTGGCTGTGCTCAGGGCAAATGTGAGGGGAAACATCTCCTGGGTGAGGCTGTGTTTAGAGGCCACGGGCTTTACGTCAGCTATCTGTGGACGGTCTAGAGATGCACCAACACGTAAGCCGGCCCACATGCAAGTCTGATACCTCATGGTGCTGAGTCTTAGTTGGTGTATGCTGGTGTTATATCTAAATATTGGGGAAAAGAAGGGGAATCAAGAAAGGATTGTGATTTTGATCTCTTAAAAATCCCCAGGGGTCACCATCGCTCCGGAAGGGGGATTGTAGGTCACGTGTGTACAGTGAGAGAACAGAAGACCACTGAAAGCCCTAGGCAGAGACTGCGTACCAGGCTTGGGGTAGCACGGTAATGTGGAAAGCAGGCAGGCTTGCGCTGTCCTTCCACCTTGGTAACTGTTTCTCCACCTCTGTCTTGCCCCGGCGTAGCATCAGAGTAGCACCCACTTCAGAGAGGGTGGCAAGGATTGAGTGTGGCAGTACAGGCAAAGCCGGGAACAGAACCCTGCACGGCTCACTTGGTAGCATTTTGTCGAGAATAAATGTTTGAGCTGGAGTGTAGTTTAGTGGTAGAGTACCTGCCTAGTGTGCAATTCATAAAAAAAATTGATAAAGATCCAGTGTTTGCGTACAACCATCTGAGCACCAGCATTCACCAAATCTTCGCATGAAGGAGCACAGCATAGGCACACAGACGTCTGTTGTCCAGACAGGCCCAGGAAGCAGGCTCCCGGGTTCAAACCCTAGGTGTGTGTTCATAGCTGTCTGACCCCAGGAAGGTTGCTTAGCCTCCCTGGGCTGCAGTTTCCCCGTCTTTAGAATGGTTCTGCTGAAAGTACTTAACCTCATAGAGCAGTGATGGCTAATCTTTTAGAGCTTTCAGGGTTACCAACAGCCCACTGTGGCACACGTGCCTGTCACAGAGTTACTGTGTGAGATGAGAAACTCTTAGGACTCAGCACAGGTGCCTGACACCAGTTACTCTGGGTGTGCTCTGTGCGTGCGCATCGTTGGCGCAGGCGCGTCCGAAAGTGACCCTAGCTCATCTGTATTACGTCATTGCTTGATAACCAGCTACAGTTTGCCCTGATCAGAGATCGGTGTGACTGCTCCTGGCGCCTCCATTTGATAAATAGAGGCAGGCGGGACCCAGGGTTCATAGAGCTGCATAACAGATGATCATTCATCGCAGGCTGCTCCCCCAGCTACCAACAAGTTCAGTTAAACTTTGTGAATATGTACTCAGAAGTATTTATTTAATAGATACTTCAGGTTTTTTCAATTTAATTAATAAATTACTAAAATCATAACACTAATCAGGTTTAGAAAAACAGTTCTCAGATTCATCTGGGACTTTGTTAATGTCACTCTTTCTTGGGGTCCCAAGAGATGTAAGGGTTTTCCTTTTCCCTCTCCACTGGCTCTTCTCAGCAAAAATCCTAAGATATCCATGCCAGTAATCACAGCACTTCGGAAGCTGAGGCAGAAGGGTTGCCAGGAGTTCAAGGCAAGCCTGGGCTACATAGTGAATTCAAGGCCAGTTTAAATTACAGAGCGAGACCCTGTCTGAAAAAAGCAACAACAGCAAAAGCTGGGCGTGGTGGCGCACGCCTGTGATCCTAGCACTCAGGAGGCTGAGGCAGGAAGATCGCCATGAGTTCTAGGCCAGCCTGAGCGGCCCTGTCTCCAAAAAAATAAATAGGTAAACAAACAAATAAAATCCTGAGATAGAGAGGCTAGGGCCGGGGCTCAGGGGTAGAGAGCTTGCCTAGCAGGCCTGAGACCCCGGGTTCAGTCCCCGGCACATCTGAGGGGTGTATCCTTCAGCTTCCCTGTTGCTGAGACAGAAATTTAGAACCTGATCAGAGGGATGCATCCAAAGAAGACCCCATAGAAAGTTACTCCTTAAGACATGAAGCTGTCACTGCACAAGGTCTTCACCTGAGCGTCACCTCCACTGTTCCCGGAAGAGGTGGAACGGAGCCCTCCTCTAGCCGTTGAGGACGTCTTGGCATATTTATCTCTCTTCCTTTTACACAGGTAAACATGGCCTTCCACCCTCAGAAATGATAGGCCTGGTGGAGCACCTCAATGCCAAGTGCCCCAGCCTGGAGTTCGTGGGGCTGATGACCATAGGGAGCTTCGGCCATGATCTCAGTCAGGGACCGAATCCAGACTTCCAGGTACTGCGGCTGGGGGAGTGGGGGACTGTTTGCATGCAAAAGAAGCATCAGCAAGCCCAAGAGGCAGCGGTGTCCTTGGCCTGGGCGGGAGAGACCCTCCGTGGCCTCCATCTGTGGCCAGCACCACAGGAGAAAATGAGCAGCGCTTTGGCCGGTGCTGTGCAGAGCTGCCGCTGCACTGACTTCAGAGACATCCCAGGTGCTGCCTTAAACCTGCTTCTGACCTCTTTCCCAGGGGAAAGGGGGAGACCGGTTCCCAAACCCCCACAGATCTTTCTCGGCTCAGTTTGAATTTGGCTAAAACGATATTTTGGAAAAACGAGCTCCTTTTCCTCTCTAGTGACCGACTTTTCCTTTCGTTGTTGTGTTATTTTGCTTCATTTCTCGTGCTGTGGCTTGAACCCAGGGCCACATGCCTGGTAGACAAGCGCTGCACCACTGGGCCATAGCCCAGTCAGAGTAGTTTTTGTGGGAGTTGGAATTTTTGCTGAAAACCCTTGCAGTGCCCTCTGGTAACCTCGACAGCCCCCTGGATCATGAGAATCATGCACTCTGAATCCGAAGTGTGTTGTTGTACCCAGATTGCGATATTCCCAAAGATTACCAAGGAGCTGAGTTTGATGTAATTACATGAGGAGTTTATTACAAGCTTGAGCCTGGACCCTTGTATTTTACTGACTGAGCAAATTAGAGAACGAGAGTTTTGATCCATTTTTAAGGGACGATTATATAGGGTTGGGGAGGCTTTTTTTTTATTGATGTTATTCTTATTTTTTTGTTACTATTGGATATTATTGGAGTACTTACTGGAATAGGAGGGTACTTACTGGAGATTGCTAATACCTAAGGGAGGGGAGGTTCAAAGGGTCAATGTTCTTTTTCAAAGAACATTTGATTAATCAATTATTATATTTAACACAGCATGTGATTAAATGTATGATTTTTTAACTATTTTAAGCAACTATCAGGAAGAAGATAGGTTCATCCTTGGGTCAGAAAAGGAGGAACGGAAAAACAGGGAGGAGGTTGTTATACAGAATGGAATTTTTACCGCTCTTTGCCCAGAACACCTGATCTTTATATTTTGAGTAAAGGTCAAAGAGGGAGACCACCTTGATCAGAAAACTTGGGTCTTACAAGTGTACAGATCTGACCACTTCTGGGCAGGTAAGAAGGCAGGGATGAAACAGGCGTGACACCCTGTGTTCCTGTCAGATGCTGCGGTCGCTGCGGGAGGAGTTGTGTGAAAAGCTGCGCGTCCCCGCCGGGCGGGTGGAACTGAGCATGGGCATGTCCACGGACTTCCCGCACGCAGTGAGTGACCCTCCCCGAGGGCAGGGTCCAAACGGCTGAAGCAGAAACAGGCTCGGGGGAGCTCTTTCATTTTGCCAGAGATGGGGATCTCGCTGAGTTGCCTTGCCGACCTCCACCTCCTGACCCTTCCACCTCACCCTCCTAAACAGCTGGAATTAGCCAGGTGTGGAGGCTCCCATCTGTAATCCCAGCACTAGGGAGGCTGAATCGGGAGGATCTCGAGTTCAAGGCCGGCCTGGACTCCTTATTGAGTCCCTGTCTCCGAAAAAACAAAAAGTAGCTGGGACTGGTGTACCCCAGCACCACTGGCAGGAGTAGGTTTTTGGTGAAGAAACCGTGCAGCCTCTCGTCAGAGCGATAGGGGAACCCAGCCACAGTGCTCCTCTTTGCTGACATTTCTCCTTCTCGTGCTCCTTCTCTTTTGAAGTAAAATTTATAGAAATTATAACCTGACACCTAATTTTTAAAAACTTAATATAATTCCTAAATGTCATCTAAAGGGAAATTTTAAAATGAACTGGGCTGTGGCTCCAGAGCAGAGCACACCCCTAGCATGTGCTAGGGTCCAGTGCCCTAACACTAAAGAAAAAGAACAAGAGGACCGGGATTTAGCTCAGTGGTTCTGCTGCCTGCCTCACAAGCGCAAGATCCCTGGTACCAAAGAAAACACTAAATCAAACTGTAAGTCGTAAAGGCATTTGGTCACATAATCGCCAGGGCACAGATGTGACAGCAGTTCACCCTACTTGTAGATCCACAGGGTTTATTGGCAACTCCCGTACCTGACTTCCTAGAACAGGAAATCATTTGCTAAAGTTACAAAATCAAAATATATTTAATTTTTTTGTTTCTTGAGACAGGGTCTCACTGTGGTCCAGGCTGGTTCCTTTTTGTTGTTGTTGGGCCCAGAACCTTCACACTGAGCTACATCCCCAGCCCTTTTTCTATTTCTATTTTGTTATTGAGGCAGGATCTTGCTAAGTTGCCCAGGCTGGGCTCAAATTTACAACCTTCCTGCCTCAGCCTCCCAGAATGTGGATATTATAGGTGTGGGTGACCACACTTAGCTCAAAAAATCAAAGTACAGAGTTTCATTCCTGGAGAAGCTATCTTCTTTTAAGAATTCTTTGTGTTTCTAAGTAAAATAGAGTTAGGTCCTGTACTGAGATAATCACAAGGTGCTTTTGTCCTCTGCCTGACCATGGCATGCTGGGAGGTGTGTGGGCCATGAGATAGCTCTCCCTGTGTAGCTGTGTCCCATACATCTCTGACAGCCACCGTTCCTGGTCCCCCTACCCCCGCATCCCATGTCCTGTGCCATTGTCATCATTGTCCCATCAACCCCATCCACGGAATCTCAAACTTCCAAGCCACCACAGAAGCCAAGGCAGTACTGCTTGTTTCCTGAATGCCCCGCCCCGAGAGTGGTCCCTCCCCAAGGAAGCCACTGCCCCACAGCCGTCTTCTGCTGCATTTGCATCGCTTTTGGTAGATGCCGCCGGAGAGCCCCCAGACTCCATCTCACAGTATGCGACTCCATCCTTGAAAAATACAAAAATAAAAATAAACTTGGTCCGTGATAACTTCATTCTCTTGCCTGCAGATTGAAGTTGGATCGACAAACATCCGGGTAGGGACCACCATTTTCGGAGAGCGGGATTACTCCAAGAAACCTGTCCTGGGTGAGACCACAACAGAGCTGAAGGCTCCGGTGGGGGCAGCACAGGCGCACTGAGCTAGGACAGCCAAGATGACCAGCTGTGCACCAACAAGGGTTTGTCGTGACATCCCCGCCTTACCGCCCAGCCACGCACCCCTGGGACCTGAACAGAGCGTGGACGGTCCCAGGTGTTGACTGAAGCCACCTGTGCTTCGTCTGTGACGTAGGAAGCCTGCTTCAAACAGTGGCTTCGGGTCACATTTGAGAATCCACACTCTTCTGTAGAAACAAATGCCAAATCAGTAGCCAGGATCAAGTCGCATATGGAATTCTGCGCTGGAGCACTAACCAGCTCATGGATGCCTTTTTCAGGTTGAACTATGGATTGCTGGTGCCTGTAATCATGGAAGTCAGAGGGGTTCCCATTCCCCACCCCACTTTTGTAGGAAATTCCCCACAACGCTAGTCACCTTCACTGTTGGAAGCAAGGTGGTTTTGCCCCACTGTGTGCGGCGGACCTGTTCCCTGCTCTGGAGTGCAGACTCCGTAAATCCAGCCAGGCCTCCAGTTACAGCTCCACGTGCACGTTATTAGTGACAGCGTCACTGACCACTGTGACCCTGAGATTTTAGGGGTGACTTTTCGTAAATAGGACCTAAGCCTTTCTTCTATCCTCAAGAGATGGAACTTTGAGCTTTTCCCGACGGGAGTTTTATGGTGTGATGTCTTCTCCACCACCTTTCTGGTGGTTTTTTAGCAGAGACCAGTGAAATCTCAACCCTCCTGGAAATGAAAGCCTGTGGAGCGCATGCAGGCATTTGCTTTCAGCCTCGCTTCCCCCTTCCCTCTGAGAAGGCTCACTCCGCCTCACACTGTCTCTGTAAGCCACCGTTTGGCAGCTCTTCTTGATTGATCATTAATGCAGTGGCAAGATCTTCAAAGAGCAGAAAGCACAATCTTGAGTCCCGATGGCTTCAGTGTGGGTGGTTGTTTTCTAGATAGCTTTTTCTCTTATTCCAGTAGTCTTTAATTTTATGAAATAACTGAGAACACGATGTTGCTGCTGAATGTAATTTTGTAAAACACCATTGTGATTCCCATTTCAAAGCTATAGTGTGATATTTCAGAGTCTATTAAATTAAAATGTGAATTTGAATTATACCATCTGTGCCAATTACAAAGCAATTAAAAGATTTATTTTCTGTGGTCTGGCGTAGTGAATAAATATGGGGGTGGCAACCAGAACCAACAGCAGGTAGTTTTGTTCCTGTCCCCAGTGTCCTCCAGCCCAGCTTTGGAGCAGAGCTTCCAGTAGCCAAAGCCACACCGTGGATGGAAAGGTTTCTGAACTTCTAGGACAAGAAAACAAAATCTTTGTTTCGGGAATTACCGAAAGGAAGAGGCTGTGTCTTGCCAACAGGAACTCTCAAATTGCCTCTAGGTGGCAACATCGGCTCACCTGAGGAGCAGGTGCTGGCCCTGCAGGAGGCACTTGACCCTGGAAGGGACTTCTGGTCAGTTAGTTTTGCTCTCTCCTTGCAGGCAGAAATGGAGGCCAGGCAGGAAGAAGTTTCCCGAGCAACATGCTGGTTGACAGAGCCACGAGGTGCTCTCCGCTGACTGGTTTCCTTTGCTAAGGGTCGTGAATGGAACTGTGGAACCCCTCTGGGAGGTGAGATCGCCTGAGCTGTGACATACGTCTCGTCTCAACTTGCGCCTACAGATTGAAAACAGGAGCCCAGCCAGGGAGCTGAATCAAACCCAGATAAGGAAAGGCAAAGGGTCTCTCCAGGGTACCCACATAAGACAGGATTCAACTCAGCCAGGTTGGGACACTTTCTGGTTTTTTGTGTGTTTTAATTTTGAGACAGAGTCTCACTGAGTTGCCCAGGCTGAACTCAAGCTTATGATACTCCGGCCTTAGCTCGAAAGTAGCCAACATGACAGATTGGAGCCACCACGCCTGCCCTGTGACATTGTCATGTTACTCTGTTTGTTCATCAAAGCAGTGACAGCATCCTGGACAAGTTTCCTGAGTTTCAGCAGCACACTGTCCCGGGTGAGCCCCACCCACATGGCCAAGCATCTTTTCCTAACAGTATCATTAATATCCTGGGTGAAACCAGCCTCAGATTTGAGGGGCCAGCAGCCCCCACTCCCCAGTAATCCATCAGGGCCTTGGTTTCTTGGAAAATCCCTCACAGGTTCTATCACTTTCCTTCTCTTTCGTTTGTTCATGGCACTGGCTTTGAACCCAGGGCATCCGTTTCCCTTTGCTACTCGGCAGGCCCCACTGCACTAAGCTACAGGCCCAGGTGCATCACGGGTCTTAGAGCAACCTCTGTCTCAGATCATACCCTGCCCCCTTAACATTCGCCAGTCTGGTCTCATAGGTTTGAGAGACCTATAAGCACTCTCTCCTGTATTCTTTCATTTTAATCTCATGACAGCTGGTCAAGAATTTTAGGATATTTGGCCATATGCCTTTGCGACCAGGACACTGAGACCCTTACTGAAGTCACAGCAAGTTGGTAGCAAGGCAAGAAATAAACTTAGAACTGACCTCCAGTCCACAGGTTGGTCACTGAACCGATAAGATTTGTCTCCTGTTGGGCTGGGTGGGGAGCCCAGGGCCTCACACTTGCTGGGCAAAGGCCTCACCACCAAGCCACGCCCCAGCCCAACTGTGCTAAGCCTTCTCAGGTGAGCAGCCTTGATTTCAGAGAACCACATCACTGTAACAGAAGGAGAGTTTGTAGTCGATTGTAACAGCTGAGAACTGACACATCTCAGCACATGACAAACTTTGAAACCTAAAAGCAGTTTTGAGTGGGATTAGCCTCCTTTCTGCACTCCAGGCTCCGAAGCACGCATCCCCCGCCAGACAAGCTGTCCCACTCACATGCCTGGGCTGGACCAGAGCACGTTCTGCTGCTGCCCCAGGCCAGACACAGAAATGAGGTGGACTGGCATGTTCTGCAGACCCCAGAGTCCTTGGACAATAAGTAACCCCTGCTTCCTACCAAAGCTTCTTGGGGGGGCCAGTTTCTGCAGTATGGGTGTGGTGCCTCCAGGGTGTCCTTGGATAGAAAAGGCTGGCTCTGGGATTCCGCCTGTCTTTACCGTGAAGTCAGCTGGATGATATTACATCAGCCTCCTGACTAAGGGATGGGGAATCCAAGCTACTGTCCTCCAAAACGGTCTACTAATCCACCCTCCTCAAGGAGTACATAGGTGAAGAAAAAGACGTGTGTGTGTGTGTGTGTGTGTGTGTGTGTGTGTGTGATTCTGGAAATGGAACCCAGGGTCTTGCATTCATTGAGCTACACCTCCAAGGCAAAATAAGATGGCTTTCTTTTCCACCTAGTTTGTATCAAGTGTACCAGGGCTGTGTGTGACTGAACGGCCATTGACAAGGTCCTTAAATTTTAAGTTCCTCTCCTATGACAAAGTCCCAGTTTCTCCCATGAAGTCTGGGACTCACCAACAGCAGGGGCTCACAACTATAATCCCAGCCATTCAGGAGACTGAGGCAGGAGGATCACAAGTTTGAGGCAGCGTGGCAATTTAGCAAGACCTTGTCTCATTTAAATTTTGAAATACTGTCTCAGAATTTACAGCATGGCAGCACATGCCTGTAGCCCTGGGCTACTTGGGAGACTGAGGTAGGAGGATTACAAGTTTGACACTAGCCTAAACTACACAGAGAGCCCTTGTCTAAACAGGGGAAGGGAGACTGGGAGTGTAACCCAGTGGTAGAGCTCCCCTACCCTGGGCTCAGTCCTCAGTACCGGAAAGAGGAAAGTCTGGCGTGTTTCAGCTGAAATGGCATTTGGTGGGAAGGGAAAGAGGGACTTCTGACATCTTTCTTATATTTGAAACAAACTTTATGAGCTTGGGCTCACGAGCTTCGCCATGTTCAGGAAGCAGATGCCACTCTGGGCGCTGGAGTGCTTCTCAGATGGCCCTGGTCACGCTTGCACGCTGGAACACCCCATGGCAGCTGAGTGCTGGCGTCTGTCCCCGCTCAGCCTCTGAGGAGTGGTGCTGCTCTCCCATTCAGAGCGGAACTTGACCTGGCTGCCGATCTCCAAAATACAACCAATGTGTGACCTTATTCAGCAGATGTCCCGAAGAAACAAGCACAAGCCCAGCCAACTTTGAAGCCAAGAAGGGAAGATGAGAAGTTGGGAGGGAGGAAGAGGAGGGAAAAGAAACTTGGCTGGACATGAAAGGTGTCCTGTCCGTCTGTTCCCCATTAGGCATAATTCTCTCACAATCTGCAGCCTCAACATAATTCTCCTGACCAGAAACTCTCTGGAGAGATAGTGTCAGAGGAAAACAGACAGACTAGCTCTTCTGACAGCAGAGACACTTAAAAGCCAACCGGGTCGGGGGAGATGTCCACACGTCATGGAGGGCACTCCTTGAGCAGGCCTGGACTCGGACCGGAAGGCTCCCCTGGGACAGGTGGCAAAGGCGAAGGAGTTCCAAGAAGTAAAACGTCTCAGCACCTGACCAGTCTGGCTTTTCCATCTGAGAGTTCAACACTAAAACCCATGGTTTCTGGGGCACAGCTCAGCGGTACAGCACCTGCCTAGCATGCACAAAAGGCCCTGAGTTCCATCTTTAGGATCCCCCCAAAATAAACACTAAAACCCACTGTGCTGGATCCACACCTCGTCATAAGCCCACTTTCCCATTTCTGACAGCCAGCAGCAGCCGAAGACAACCGTTCCTGTCAGGGACACAGCTCCCCAGCAGCAGAGGCCTCTCCCAGACCAGAGCTCTGATCACCTTTGAGCTAAGCAGCCCAGCATTTGGGAGCCCGCCAAAGGAGCCTAGGGCAAGGTCCTGCAGGCCGGGCGGGCAGGGCAGGCCAGGGCGGCAGCTCCGCCCGCTCAAGTTTCTGGGACAGGCATCCTGTTCTAGGAGAGACCGTTTTTTTAAAGGAAGAAAAACTAATCAGCAGAAAGACGAGAGCCTGCCTCTGCCTCTCGACTTGTTTATTACTAGGATATCTGATTTCAGCAAAGGAAGCCGGCTCCGAAGCAAGGTTTTTATTGGCCGCAAGCAAGAGGAATTCAGGGTTTGCCTTTGATTTGGCTTCCCCGGAACATGAGGCACTGAAGAGCGCTCCCTGCTTTGATGGAGCAGCTCGGTCGGTCTCTGGGCCCCTCCCAAATTCTGTTTTGGCAGCGTGGACACAAATTCCCCTCGGAGGATGGGGGCAGAGCGAGGGGCCGAGTGGAAGGGGATGGAACATGGAGGACGGAGGTGAGCGAGTCTGTGACTGAGCAGGGGCTGCCCCTCCCAGCCAAGCGAGGAGCCAGGAGGGCAGGTCTGCTCCGTGAGAGGCTGCAGGCCGGCCAGGCCTGATGGCTTCAATATGTCTGCAGATAAAGCCGGAGGCTGGAGAGGCGGCCTCCACCAGCAGCCAGTGCTCCCCAGCTAGGGCCGGCCCAGGGGAGGGGCACCAGCTCCCCTGGGCCTGGGCCTCCTGCTCGCTCCAGAGGGAAAGTCCCCCAGCCACCTCTGTCCCTTGTCTTCTGCACCTCCCACCCCCTCATCCCCTCTCCACCACACCCTGGAGCCTGGAGAACCCCGTGGGAGGGGAGGGTGCAGGGCTGGGCCGGCCCCTGAGGCTGTTGCTGGGGCTGCTGGGACCCCAGGGCCCTCAGAGACCAGCTGTCCTCAGGGAGGGGCTGTGCCCATGTCTTGCTCCCTTCCTGCTCCAGATTGAGACTAGGAAGCGGTGCGGGGCTCCCCTCTTGCTCTCGGGTGTGGGTCTTCACAGGCATCTCTGTGCCTGCCTCCTGGTCACGGGGCACAGGCTTGGCTGGCAGTGTGTGGGTCACCAGCATGCTCACCTGTGAGGCCCAGTCTGCCTTGGCAGCCAGGGGGGCACGTAGTACTCTGTGAGCAGTGCTGGGAACAGGAACAGGGCTCTCACTGTCTGCTTCAGGAACCCAGTCATCCAAAGGACAGTGCAGCAAGTTCAAGAACCTGCTTTGGGGAAGGGAGTCACAAAAACGGACAGATCACCCACACTGCGGGGGCTACACACTCGCACTCCACACTCTTGTACACATATAGCCACGCACACGCACATATACAGCCACATAAACACATCTACAGACACAAACATACACAGCCATAAACTCACATTCATGTATACACAAATGCGCGTGTGCGCGCACACAC